CAAGTAGCAGCGGTAACAGCAGCAGCAACAGCAGTAAAGCCTACACTCGAGTGAATAAGCTAAGCAGTGATTTCACCTGGACAATAAGTAATTACAGCTTGCTGAAAAAGCAGCCCGGAGAGTGGCTCAAGTCGCCGAGCTTCAAAGTCAACGACGGCAGAATCGAGTATTGCTTGAAACTCTACCCCGCGGGATTTCCGGACAACAGCGAGTTCGCCGGTGTCGCGCTGAGCCAAGCCACCGAGGTGGAGCACGTGTGCCAGTTCACGATCTCGGTGCTGATCGACCGCAGGCCCGTCGTGATCATACGCGCGGGCAGCTGCGATTTCGCGAAATCGTCCAACAGTTACCGACTGCGCGAGCTGTTCAAGCTGAAAAATTCGCACGAGGTGCTGAGCGAGGACACGCTGACGCTGCGCTGCGATCTGACGATCGTCGCCGAATCCGAGTCGCTGCTGATAGAGCAGCCGCCGATCGCGGATGCAGCAGCAGCGACGCGGCCCAAATGGAGGTTCAACGAGCTGTTTCTGAGCGAGCATCTGAGCGACGTGAGGCTGCGCACGGCCTGCGGCAAGACGATTCCCGCTCACAAGGCGCTGCTCGCCGCTGCGAGTCCGATATTCGACAGGATGTTCAGCCACGACATGCTGGAGAGCCAAGCGAATTTCGTTTGCATAAACGATATCGGCTACGAGGCTCTAGTGCAGATGCTGCGTTACGTGTACGCGGCGGGCATAAGAGACGGGGTCGAAACGAGTCTGATGTGCGAGCTTCTCGAGGCCGCCGATAAATACGACATCGAGGGATTGAGGCTGGAGTGCGAGAGAATTTTGTGCGACAATTTGACCGTAGAAAATGCCATCGATCTGCTTTCGACGGCTCTCAAGCATAATGCCGATTCGTTGAAAATTCGAGCCCGAAAATTCATCGAGTTTCATCGCAAGAAGATAATCGAATCCGATAAATTTCGAAAGAAGCTGGACCGATTAAACATTATCGATGTTATGGAAGCTCTATCTTTCACAGAGTGCATTGATTAAGTACTTTCAAGTTCATATACTTTTATGAAAAAAAAAGTAGACGATAAGATAACAGACAATTTACTATAACTCATACAATAACAATAAACACGTTTGAGACAATATTTCTCATACTAATTTATTTCAACCCAAAAAAAAACTTAAAAAAAAAAATCTATATAATTATGTTACGGGGAAAATAATATCAGTTATTTCTAGCTTTTCTGAGCATTAATAAAAAATCTTAATTCATACAAAAAATTCGTAATTCGATTCAATAATATTCGTACATGACGTGAAAATAGATTCGACGACTACCGATTTTCATTACATTTTGACAACATGTATAATCACAAGAAAAAACAATAACTTCAAAGTCCATAAAACTTGCGTCAAACAAATGATCAGAGACACTCCGTACTGCATCAGCCGTCAGCTGACATTGTAGATCATTGAACAATGAAAATTCGTGCAAAGTCGGACTTCGCTGTGACGTAAGTTTTAAATTCCAACTTGCGACTGCCAAAAAAGCTACTAGACCTCCATTATCTATAAAACTAGGGTACCAAAAAAAATTCTGGAACATCATACAAGCAAGTGCATTATTGAATTTTTTAAGCTCACGCAGATAATAAAAAATGAATGGATCTTTGGCACACGTGACTTAGCATCAATCTCTTTTGAATTTCAATGAGATTTTAAAGCTCAGAAGCCCACCAATTACACAAACCTGATGAGAGATCGCATGAGTTTCCCGAAACCACAATTTTTTGTTAAGCTGAGATAAAATTTCATGGGTCATTCTATCGCTTACTTTTTAACAAATACGCTTTTTTTTAGCAAGCTAGCTGAGAGATTCAATTATGTACTAGTTTTTAATCAAGTATATGTTTGAATATTTCCTATACTGTACAGACATAAAGAAATTCGAGCTGCTCAAGAATGACTAAGCAACTTTCTCTTTGTAAACGCATATGAAATTTTCAAGCTGAGAAGCGCCCCAACTACACAAATCTGGAGCGATATCGCATAAGCATTACTATACTCCAATCTTTCGTTACCCGGAGATAAAATTTCAAAGGTCAACCTCTCGATTAATTTTCAACAAATACAACTTTCTTTCAGCGAGCCAACTGAGAGATTCGATTATGTACTAGTTTTTAATCGAGAGGATGTTTGAATATTTCCTATACTTTAAAGAAGTTTAGTAATGCCAGCAGCTCAGGCATAACTAAAAACTTTCCCTTTTTAAACGCATATGAGATTTTCAAGCTGAGAAGCTCCCCAACTACACAAATCTGGAACGATATCGCATAAGCATTACTAAACCCCAATCTTTCGTTACCTAGCGATAAAATTTCATAGTTCATCCTCTTGGTTACTTTTTAACAAATACGCTGTTTTGTTAGCGAGCCAACTAAGAGATTCGATTATGTACTAGTTTTTAATCGAGAGGATGTTTGAATATTTCCTATACTTTAAAGAAGTTTAGTAATGCCAGCAGCTCAGGCATAACTAAAAACTTTCTCTTTTTAAACGCATATGAGATTTTCAAGCTGAGAAGCGCCCCAACTACACAAATCTGGAGCGATATCGCATAAGCATTACTAAACTCCAATCTTTCGTTACCCAGAGATAAAATTTCATACGTCAACCTCTCGATTACTTTTTAAAAAATACAACTTTTTTTCAGCGAGCCAACTGAGAGATTCAATTATGTAGCAGTTTTTAATCCAGTCGATTTTTGAATATTTTCCATACTGTACGAAAGTTCAGTAATGCCAGATGCTCAGGAATGACTAAGCAACTTTCTCTTTTTAAACGCATATGAGATTTTCAAGCTGAGAAAAGCCCCAACTACACAAATCTGGAGCAATATCGCATAAGCATTACTAAACTCCAATCTTTCGTTACCCAAAGATAAAATTTCATAGGTCTACCTCTCGATTAATTTTCAACAAATACAACTTTTTTTTAGCGAGCCAACTGAGAGATTCAATTATGTAGTAGTTTTTAATCCAGTCGATTTTTAAATATTTTCTATACTGTACAGAAGTTCAGTCATGCCAGCTGCTCAGGAATGACTAAGAAACTTTCTCTTTTTAAACGCATATGAGATTTTCAAGCTGAGAAGCGCCCCAACTACACAAATCTGGAGCAATATCGCATAAGCATTACTAAACTCCAATCTTTCATCCCAAAGATAAAATTTCATAGGTCTACCTCTCGATTAATTTTCAACAAATACAACTTTTTTTCAGCGAGCCAACTGAGAGATTCAATTATGTAGCAGTTTTTAATCCAGTCGATTTTTGAATATTTTCTATACTGTACAAAAGTTCAGTAATGCCAGATGCTCAGGAATGACTAAGCAACTTTCTCTTTTTAAACGCATATGAGATTTTCAAGCTGAGAAGCGCCCCAACTACACAAATCTGGAGCAATATCGCATAAGCATTACTAAACCCCAATCTTTCGTTACCTAGCGATAAAATTTCATAGTTCATCCTCTTGGTTACTTTTCAACAAATACAACTTTTTTTCAGCGAGCCAACTGAGAGATTCAATTATGTAGCAGTTTTTAATCCAGTCGATTTTTGAATATTTTCTATACTGTACAAAAGTTCAGTAATGCCAGATGCTCAGGAATGACTAAGCAACTTTCTCTTTTTAAACGCATATGAGATTTTCAAGCTGAGAAGCAAACCAACTACACAAATCTGGAGCGATATCGCATCAGCATTACTAGACCCCAATCTTTTGTTACGCAAAGGTAAAATTTCATAGTTTATCCTCTCGCTTACTTTTTAACAAATACTCTGTTTCGTTAGCGAGCTAACTGACAGAATCGATTATGTATTGGTTGACTTAATGTTCCTTTCCTTATTCAACTATGACAAAATGACTACCTTATTGTTTAACTTTTGTTCAATTGCAATGAATCTTTTTTACATATAAATCCTTTCCTTAGTTAATGAACGATGATGAAGATTTTGTCACTTGTCGTTTCGGTTTTGTACATACGTAAGAGCTGTAGGACCATTTATATTCAGACATTTGGCTACATGTAAAACTTTTTTTTCCTGATATATTCGATTGATATGAACGCCTATACATACACTATATTCATCTATAATTAATGTGTGGCTCTTATGAAAACATCAAAAGTTTCTTTCGAGTTAAGTTTTTTTAGTTAGATATCTTACTATATTATTATCATCCCTTCATTAGGAATCGATTATTTTGCACATATTTTCGAATTTTTCATCGTCGGAAATGATTTTTTACAAATGAAAAATCACTCAACACCTGAATGGTAGTCCTTTTTTGGTGAAAAAAATTAAATTTTATCATTTTTCCAAAAAATTTTCCGTGAAATCATAATTTAGATTACGTTTTTTAATGTAATTATCATTGAATCTTATGATTATCCTTTATTCAATTTCAATTAGACTGAATCATAAATTAATTCATAAATATTCATTTTCATGTGGTGAAATTACGCCGCTGAGCGTTTGATACTTTCCCTTGTTTTTTCTAGTCGTTTTCTTTGAAGAAGAATGATCTAATGTATGAGAAATTAAACGAAGTATACTTTCACTTTTCGAGGCGGTCGTTTTACTCCACTCATCAAATCAACTCTAATTGAAAGCTACTTTTTTAAAAAGTTTCAATGATAGTTTTCATACAACATTTTTCTGATCGGATTTATAATAATCAAAAACTCTAAGAAAATTTTTATGATAAATTCATGTGTAGAAGACTCGTTTTGCCGATTTATTGATTGTATTAGTTTTTAATTCTATCGAGTAAAAGTATTAGAGAGAAAGAATGAGCTGTAAATGCATAATTAAATCATGAAAAGGTTTAGGCCTATTAGATGTATAGTATCGTTATAACATCGTTAAATGAGTAACGTGACTCGAAGGCTCCAGTGGCGCTGTCTCTTTTGTTTTGATTCAAGTGTCACCCGTTCATGAGCTGCTATCGTTCCACATAGCGTTCTCGGGCCGATCGATCGTTTATCCAGGGAAAACGCGAGAACGAGGTTCAGATCGCTTATCGTACCCTAATCAACACAACGAGTACGTTACTCGCTTGATTCGCAATTTCGAACCGCGTGATCTTTATCGATAGCTAAAAAGCGAAAATAACGGGATATTTTGTAAAAATTGATATCGGTTCGAAATGGCAGGGATCGTAAGCAACGCTTATACCCGAGTGACAGCGTCGAAGAGCGAATTCAATTGGAAAATTGATAATTACAGCAATCTGAACAAAAAACCAAAGGAGTTCTTGAAGTCGCCGGAATTCAAAGTTGACGAAAGCGAAAATTTGTTCTACCTAGAATTGTATCCATCGGGATTCCAGCCGGACTCGTCGGGACAATACAAATTCGCCGACATATTCTTGTGTCAAGTTCGCGGCGAAGCGCTCGAGTGTCGTTGCCAGATTCTGTTTTGGGGCGACGGCGAGCCCGCCGTAATCGTGAAGCCGGGCATGTGTTCGTTCGACGCCGACTCAAAAAAATTTTTGATCCCCAAAGTTTTCCCGATAGACGAAACGAGCGCAGTGTTGGTCAAGGACTACATGGAACTCCGCCTCGACGTTACCATCTTCACCAACGAGTGCGAGTCGTCGGTGAACGTCTCAATCGATATAAGCTCCGACGAGAGCCCGCGATTGGACTGCAGCAGATTATTTTTGACCAAACACTTGAGCGACATGAGTTTCCGATCCAAGTGCGGAAAACTCGTGGCAGCTCACAAAGCCATTGTGGCCTCGGCGAGTCAAGTATTTGCAAAAAGGCTCGTCCAAAACGAGCTGGAAAACAATGTTTATATAACGGTCTTCGAGTACGAGACTCTCATCGAAATGTTGCGGTACATTTACACGGGTCAGCCGAAAGAGACAATTTCCACCCATGTCATTTGTAATCTCGTGGAAGCAGCCGACACTTACGCCATGAAAGGATTGAAGAGTAAGTGTGAAAAGATGCTGATCTCCAGTTTAACAACCGAAAATGCAATAAGCGTACATAAAACGGCTTATTTACACGATTGTACTCATTTGTTAGAAAAAGTTAAAGAATTTATCAAGTTTCGTAGCCAGGAAATTACTGAATCAGATGAAATGTACGGGTTACTGGGTGATTGTATGGAGGTTGATTTAATTAAATCAATGTTAAAAAAGTAGTTAGACAGAAAGAACATATTTTATGAGTGTATTTAATTATTTATGGTTATTTCAAACTTTGTTATTTAATTATTTTCTCAATGTCACAAGCTTGTAGAAAAAATTTAACCTTGTGATTACTTATTTAAAATAATAAAATGGAAAAATATATTAAATGTGTGCCAAGTTAATTTAAATAGTGATCATGAACTTTTGATGTACTTGTCGCATAAAAGATTATTGATAAATATTTGATTGCTGCGTTATGTAAAAAAGCAAAAATTGTTCTGCATTGGTTGACACGATAAGCATCCTCGCACGAAACATGCGGTAAAAATTACTTGGGAGATGAATCATAGTTCAACGACTGCGTATCCAAATCGACCATTATCTTACGAAAAGTTAATGTAAAATTGTTTACACTTATTCGTCGAGAAAATTTTACTTTCATCATGCGTTAATTTTGCTTGTCATTATTTTTCAAAATTGGATATTGATCGGTAACAAAGGAAAAAAAGTGCCTGCAATGCATTAGAGACTATCGATCCTATACAATCTACATATGGCCCATGACCAGTAATGTGAATGCAACTATAGTTGCAAGTACACTTTCGATAAGTGCAATTTCTCCTTGTATAAGGGAGAATCATCACTGGTCATTAAGCAGTTTTAAACGAGGCCCTTCCCAACTTATATGCTGCAGGAAGAGTAAAACGCACTCAGTATCTCTCACACTCGTACGCACGTACATACGCACATTCACATACAAGTGCGACGACACATACACTGCCGTCAAAGCGAGTCGGCATGGCATATTTTCCAACCAGGATCTAAACTCGGCAACATCGAAATCGACCTAGGGTGATAGTGGTGATGAAAACACACTTATCAATAAGGAACCTTAACTTTTAACACGTGGACCATTTGACTAGTAACACGTTGCTGTACTGTGTCGCGGCAACATCAGTTCATCTGTAGAAGCCAACGTGCAAGCATCATTGGTTCCTGCGCACCTCAGTTGGAGTGTATAAAAGATTACCTTTCACTTTCTGACGTGGACCATTTGACTAGTAACACCTTGCTGTGCTGTGTCAGGGCAACTCCAGTTCATCTGTAGAAGCCAACGTGCAAGCATCATTGGTTCCTGCGCACCTCAGTTGGAGTGTATAAAAGATTACCTTTCACTTTCTGACGTGGACCATTTGACTAGTAACTTCTTGCTGTGCTGTGTCGTTACAACTTCAGTTCATCTCTAGAAGCCAACGTAGAAGCCTCATTGTATCATTAGGTGAGTTGGAGAGCATAAAAATACTCACTTCGAATTAGATATTGATCTTTGTGCAGTACTGTTACATCGCTAGTAAATGTTCAGACACTAAAGTGTAAGCATCAACGGAACATTAGCTTAATTGATTCCCCAAGAACAAAAAGCTTAGAAACAAGGAAAATGGCTCTTTCTGCGAGGCTGAGATCTTTCCACATGGATTATTATAATACATTGCCTGCACCATTGCACTCTGCAGTCTTTTACGCCACTGAAAATTTGGTCGAACAGTTGCTTATAAGTGGGGCTGACCCGAACGCGGTGAATGAAGATGGAGCCACTCCTCTGCATATTATTTGCCAAAAATCTGACGAGGCTTATAGCATGGCAACTACGTTTTTTAGAGTCTGCGATCACATGGAGCAAACGATACACCTTGATACCCAAGACAATTTGGGTAACGCAGCATTGCACTTTGCGATACACTATGAAAACGTAGATATGGTCGAACTTCTGCTGTTAAAAGGGGCCAATCCGAATGTCGCTAACAATGATGGAATGACTCCTCTTCATATTATTCGCGCCAAACGAGCAGTCCGTGATCACTTGTTGATGACGTTCCTGAGAATCTCCGATCACATGCAGCAGACGTTGCAGCTCGATGCGCAGGACAAGTTCGGTAACACACCACTACACTTGGCTGTGCTAGACGGCTGCTTTGTAATGATCGAACCTCTCCTAAGACGAGGAGCGAATCCCAATTTGACCAATGAAGAAGGAATGACACCTTTGCACATTATTTGTAAAAAAGGAACTGATGCGCATATCTATGCGATGAATTTCTTCAGAGTCTGTGACAGCGTTTACCGGACTGTACACATCGATGTTCGGGACAAGTTCGCCAGGACACCCCTTGAGTGGGCTGTGGCGAATCGCTTGCATCTTGTGGTCGATATACTCTTGGACAATGGCGCTCATCTGCGGAACTTTATCTTTCCATTCCCAAGACATTACGACGAGCAATTGAAACCAAAGCCAGATGAAAACTTAAATAGCTTTAGGCCAAGACTAATAAAAGATGCTTTGGCCGTCGTTAAAAGTCTTGAAAAGAAAGGATGGAAATTGCAAGAACATGACAAATTGAAGGTCATGTCAATAATACAGCGGTACGGATTGTTAAAGAAAAGTTCCGAAAAATTTGAGGAATCTCGACGAGAGTTTGCATAACAACTGTTGTTGAGTGGGCAAACTATAGTTTTATTTCTTCTTATTTTATGAAATAGAGAGTAGGATTATCGCACGAGAATTTGACCCGTGTTCACAGAATCAATGAAAGTTGTTAAAATGTATTAATATCAATTGTATCTAAATGTATAAATATAGAAATGTACAAATGATAAGGATTTTTAATAAATAATTTATAAACTCAAAAATTTACTTCTTTTTACTACAAATAATAATTCTATAGATTTATTTTATGACGTGTACGACATATTTCATTACTATGATATAATTAAAGGTCAAACAATACCATTAATTATTTCATAAATGTGCTGTTCGGAGATTCTGACTACTTATAGAAAACATATATGGTATAAGTAAGTGAAGCAATTCAGTTCGTGTAATTTTGTGGACCTCTGAATATTCAATATGAAAATGATGAGAATTAGCTTTTTTTGCTTAAAAATACAATCATAAGTCACCAGATCAACTGAGCTGATGAATATGTTTCATCTTTTAATGTGGAATCGTAAGTATCCAAATTTACCCATTTAATTCATCTTATTTTGCTATTGTTGCTCCCCCAGGTGAAAATAGTATGTCAGATCTGACTCCAGATCTGGCATCAGATCTGGTATAAGATCTGATAAATGTACGCCAGATCTGATACCAGATCTTGTATTCGATAATCGACATCAGAACTTATATCAGATCTGAAGTGACTGTATTGCCTTTAATTAATTAAACAATAACTTTATTAATAATTAAAACTTTATAACAAATTTAGTTATATTTTAATAATCACATCGATAATACCTTTAAGAAAAATTCCTACAATATTTAGGTTTCTGATAATGTGAATTTAAATTGATTCAACAACTTTTATTATTAAGATTTATTATAAAATTTTAATTATTAATAAACTTATTGTTTAAATAATTGAAGGCATTACAGTCACTTCAGATCTGACATTAGATCTGATGTCAGATCTGATATAAGTTCTGATGTCGATTATCGAATACAAGATCTGGTATCAGATCTGATGTCAGATCTGGTGTATATTTGTCAGATCTTATACCAGATCTGATGCCAGATCTGGAGTCAGATCTTACATACTATTTTCACCTGGGCCAAGTAACTGAATCTGCCCAGTTCAGGCAAGTTAAGTAGTAACATTAAAACACAGTAATGTTGAAGTAATCCAGTCAACCCAACTTGTGCAGTTTATAGATTCGTGAGTATATGCAATATTTAATACGTTACAAAGTAAGTTCAAGTAAGTTCAGTCGTATTTTTATATTTTTATATATGATGCCGTCGCAAAAGTTTAAGTGCTGAAAAAACGACATTACTCGAAAAAAATTTCGCTTAATTTTTTTTAATTTTCTTCCAGTAGGCTACAGCATATACATTATTACTTTATCGTGAAGAGCGCAGTAGACTATAGTCAGTAAGTATACAGTGCCACGTGAACCTGAAGCCAACTTATGTACACTAGACCCAATCTAATTAGGTCCGGTCCACGGAGTGGTGGAATGAGAATAAGAATAACGGCGTTCCAGCAGACTGAATTAGATTTGGGTCTATAGTGTATAAGAGCCATGCTCACATTTCGGAATGATAAATATTTTAGGAATTATGAATATTCGGAATGTTTGAAAATCGGAATATTGAAAACGGAACATGAAAAATTCGGAAAAACAAAATTACGAAATAAAAAAATTTCGGAATGAAAAAACTTCGGAAAAATTAAAATTTTGTGGATTCCGAATTTTACGCATTCCGAATATTCATAATTCCAAATATTTATCACTCCTAAATGTGAACTTGGTTCGTGTATAACATTCCTAATTCCTATATATACAACGTGTCACTCGACATGTGCTCTGGACTAGAAAGTAGAGACCGGAGAGGAGGCAGTGACCGGATATTCGTTTTTTAACTCAAATGGGCTCTCACATCCGTGACACACTACACAGTACGCAGTCTGCTTTCTCGCCAGTTAGATCGTTTGTTAGACGCACGTGGTATCTCCTCGCAAGAGTTAGATCAATCAAAGAATACGTTTTATTGGTTTATCGTGTTGCGCGTGTAGTAAGATCAAACAAGTTTACGATTATCATTCGTTTTTTAACGTTAACAAAAAGTAAAAACTTAATACTTTCAAAATGTCGACGTTTGTTAGAAAAAGTTATACTGAAGAGAAAATTAGTGGAATCAATATTCTGAAGAGCGAATTTGTTTGGAAAGTAAATAATTTTTGTGAACTGATTGAAGATCCAGAAGATATTTTGACCTCACCGAGATTTAAAATGGATGAAAGTGAAGAAACATATAGTCTTATGTTTATGCCAACTGGAAATTTAAAGGACCCAGTAAGTAAACATAAATCAGCAACTTTGACTTGTCATAATAATTATGACGAAGAGTTTGCATGTAGTTGCAAAGTATGGTTTTTTACCGACAACGAGTGTGTTTTAACTTTGGCATCAGATAAATCTTCATTTAAATCTGGTGTTCAAGCATCAATTGGTCTACGTCCAGTTTATATATTACCTAATCCAGAGGAAGTAGTATCTTACAAAAATGTTATGACAATCCATTGTGAAATCACAGTAGAAAAACCAATCCAATGGGCATCCAAACAGTTATTTATGAATAAACATTTAAGTTATGAGCAGCTGAGCGCAGAGTGTGATACATTTCACAATGTCTTACTAGCCTCAATCATAGAGAAATGATCAATATTCAGTTAAATGAACAAAAGTTATTACCTATAATACCAATTTTTAATGAATGAAGTTCAAAAATTCAAGCAATTCAATAGAGTACATATATAGAAAAGTGTAGGCAAATAAATGGAGAAATTAGTGTATAATCCTAAAGCGATAGAAATAATTTTAGATAGATAAACAAATAAGTAAAAAAATAATAAATTTGTTATGCATGTTTAATAATTTTGTGTTACTTCAAACTTTGAGATGTAAATAATTAAATTTAATATCTAATGTTAATCGACTGATCATGTCAAATTTTAAATTGTGATGACTAATGTAATATAATAGAACCATTTACCTAATGTACTGAAAATATTTATATTTAATGATAATAAAAATTGATTTAATCGGTAAAGAAAAAAGTATTGATATTTATGATATTATTGTTGTAATTAAAAAAATAGTTCTCACCATTCTACAAATTGGTTGCTCACAATAGTACGAAGAATACATTTTGCATTGATCACAGCAATAATGAAGTTTTTTGATATTACTCATTCTTTGACTATTTTCTAGAAAGGTTCTAGAGAATAAGCTACCTTTCTTGTATTTACTAAAAGTACTGTTATTGCTGACACCAATTTTTTAATTAAAACACTGTTTTAAAACACTTTGAACGGATAACTTTTATTATTGGTATTAAATAGTCTACTACGAAGATGTTCAAAGTTTTGGAATCACAAAAAATTATTGTGCACTGATTGAAGATATTAATAATCAGAAGTATTAATTGTCTTTCTCGTGTCGATCATAAATATGTAGTTTGATCACAAGTATAACATGTTAGCAGAATCAAAAGAATAATTGCAAATGTAAAAAATTTCTCAACTTAAGCGTTATAAAAAGTTTAATTTTGCGCATTTGCATCACATAATTTAATGCATTTATTCTTGTAATGCCCTTTCCAAAAGTATGAATGGTTGTGTGCAAGACGCGAGTATAAACACATGGCCTCAAGTCATGAATGTATAATGAAGAAGTCCCTCAAATTTACAGAACTGGCGTAGCAGCAGCGTCAACACGGCGTACACCGGAATAACTCTGTATGGCATTTGTGCTAGTATCGTGAATTTAATGTTTTAATTGGCACGCGCGACGATAAAAGTTTGCTTTTTTATCTAATATTCTTTAATCAACAACTTTCTTACGCGAGTATCGTATAAAGTTTTGTTATACTTATATGTGCTCGCACAGCCAGTTGCCTGATCAGCCTGCAACGAGTCTGTTGTAACTGCAAGCCTGTCAAGGTCCGAAAATCGCGCAAATACTCGCAGCGACGATGCAGTGGTGTAGTCGACTGCAAACTGCAGAGATTCATCACGTGATGCCAGCAGACAACGTTATACAGAGTACAAAAACAGAATACAGAGTACAGACCGAGTCCGACACACAAATCGCGCCTATAGCGTATCTAACTTCGTTTGTTTAATTTGTATAAAACGAGTTTCCAAACCACCACGAACGCAGCAGCGACATTACCCGGCGTATGCTTCCTTCCTCTTGTCCGGCATTTTTTAAGATCTTACTTAATTGTTTTTGGCCTTCATCAATTGAGGCCGTCAGTGCGTCCTGTTGTGACTTGTGCGAGTATAGTTTGACTACTATTGCGTGAGACGTGTTGTAGTATCAAAAAGAAGTGAAAGATTCAGTTACCAATTTTTTCAATCGTGCACCAATCAGTATTGTGTACCATTTCAAAAGAAATGGCATCGACTAGCAACAAAGCCTATACTCGAGAATTTACGTGGACTATAAATGATTACAGTAAGCTTGACGTACATCCAAAAGTATGCATAAAGTCACCGGAATTCAAAGTGGATAGTAGTGAAAAAGTGTTCTATGTGAAATTTTACCCATTAGGATATGAGGTGGAACCTTCAACCGGACTCATTCCATATGCTGGCATGGTACTGTGTCAAGCTAGCGCTGAATCGTTCAATTTTAGTTGCAAAGTTAAATTATTGGTCGACGACGATCCTGTTGTAATAGCAAGATCAGTTAAAACTTCATTCAATCAACATACCAAAAGGTTAGAGTTTTCTCAACTGTTTCCTATTCAAGATTTGAGTGAGGTAATATCTGACGAAGACGTCATGGTTATTCGTTTTGAATTGACAATTTACACAAAAGAATGTAAATCAAGGAAGCCGAATCCTAACAGCGAAATTACTCTCAGATTGAAGTTGGACAGTTTATTTCTCAATGAAAATTTAAGCGATGTAAATTTGCGGACTGCATGTGGAAAATGTATTCCAGCTCATAAAGCCATACTGGCCTCAGCAAGTCCAATTTTTCTCAATATGTTTACATATGAAATGTTAGAGAATGAAACCAATTTAGTTGATATAACCGATATCAGTAATGAAGTTCTCATTGAAATGCTACGATACATATACCTTGGTAGCATAAATGTTAAAGTGTCAGTGATTTGCGAGCTTCTAGGAGCAGCCAATAAATATGATATTCAAGGAATGAAGACTATGTGTGAAAAATTGTTATTAGAAAATTTGTCAATAGAAAATGCTCGAGATGTGTATAAAGCCGCTACCAAATATGACTCTAATTATTTAAAAAATGAAGCTATTAAATGTTTCTATGATGATAGTGTGGAAATTATTAAATCTGTAAAACAACCTTCTCTGTTTGATGAATTCAACCAATTTTTGAAGAATTACTCAAATAAGTAAAAAAGCAGATTTATTTTCTTAATCCAATAATAAGTACTTCAGTATTTTTAATGTATAAAACTTGATTAATTACCAAATATTATGTGCACATAGAAAACTGTTTAGATTGTAACTACCATTATGATCACAATAAAGAAACACAAAATAATAATATACTTTTTTATAAACTAATATCATTTGTGCAACTTATTAAATTATCAATACACGCATTTCAAAAGATTCATTAGTCAATATTTTATTCCATATAACAATAACAATTATGATAGCAATCTACATATAAGTGTTCATTCATGGTTCTTAACTATTTTTAAATCAACTATTTTTAAATTTCAGTTAATTTACAGTTATTCATCTAATACATGTCATTTTCGAAATTCTGGAAAAATTGCCATTCCAGCATATTAGCAAAATCAATCAGTTGACACGTTCATTCCATCAGATTTAGTAGCGGTTACATAATACATGCTACTCGCGTTACTACGCATAAACACTTCAAAAAGGTAAAAACAGCGTGCATTACATGAATAAAAGGCAATGTCATGTAAATTACAACATCGTGAGATTCATCTTCACATTGGGTGGGACGATAGGATATATGTCACGCCCACGTTGAAGAGAAACAGTCTCTAATTTCCACGCTACGAATCTGCTCGAGTCTCATGATACATTGACACTTGTTATGATGGAGATGACCGGAGAGATGAATGCAGCTGTCAGCAACTCGGCACTCGGTAATCATAATAATTTCGTTTTTGCGCTTGCTGATGTGAAGAGGTTCAATATGGCAGATTTCGAAGCCGCCCCGAGAGCAGCCATATTGACTCCCCTCCTCATAGTCACACTCGCACTACGAGTTTAGATCCCGAAATACTAGTTCAGACCCGCAGTACAATTTCTTGTGTCAATCGCACGCTCAACTGTTTATTTTGTACATACTTCGGCATTTCGTAACCCCACTTGTTTTAACATCGCACGAAGAGTTAGATCAGTCGAAGATTAATTTTAATGGTTATCGTCAATTGGGACGTGTTGCAAGATTATAGAAATTGCAGATTACATTACGAGTCATTAAACAACTAAATACTTTCAAAATGGCACGAATTCCAAGCAAAGCTTATACTCGAGTTGATACTGCCAATAGCGAGTTTACGTGGACAATTAATAACTTCAGTAGTCTGAACAAAACCTCACACGAATACTTGACGTCGCCAATGTTTAAAGTGGATAACAGTGAAAAAAAGTTTTTTTTGCAATTTTTCCCAAATGGATATCAAGCGGACACCACGACTACTGCCATGTTTCTATGTCAAGTTGGATCTGAATCGTTCAATTGTCGTTGCAAAATTACCTTGATGGTCGACTACGAACCTGTGCTAATCGTGAGATCACCCAGATATTCATTCAGTGCGAACAACAAAAAGTTGGCGTTCACTCAATTTTTTAGAGTTGAAGATACAAGTGAAATGACCGATGACCAAGATGTCATGATTATCACTTGTGAATTAAAAATTTTCACCACGAAAAATGAATCAATATATTTGCATGCAATCAATGAAAATACTTCTAGATTCAAGTGTGATGATTTATTCCTTAATGAAAAGTTGAGTGATGTAAAACTTCAAACCGTATGTGGAAAAGAAATCATAGCTCACAAAGCCATACTGGCATCAGCGAGTCCAGTTTTTTTAAAAATGTTTACTAATGATATGTTGGAAAACAAGAATAATGTAGTGAATGTAACTGATTTTAGATATGAAGTACTCATAGAAATGATAAGGTACATATACCTAGGCAACATAAATGTTAAGGAATTGACAGTGACTTGTGAGCTTTTAGGAGCTGCAGATAAATATGACATCCAAGGATTGAAAACTATGTGTAATCAAATTTTATTTCATAATTTGCGTGTAGAAAATGCTATCAGCATTTTCAAATTGGCTAATAAGTATAATTGTAATACTTTGAAAGATGAAGTAAAAAAATTCATCAGTTTTCATAGTGCTGATATTATGAAATCTAACAATGTAAAGAAATTACTGAACCCTGCTGAGCTTGATGTAATTCAATTAGTGTTAAACATTTAAGTATAAGAAAAATATTTACTCTACTTAATTTAAAAGTTAATTGTTATTGTACAATTTTTAAGAAAAATAACTTGTTTTATTACCAAATGTAAGCGCACAGAAAAATGTTTTGATTATAATAAAATTATAATTCTAATAAAGACAAAAACTTATAGCTTATGAGTAATGTTTATTTATTAACTTGTTCAAGGTTTCTAATATCAATATATTCATCACAATAAACTTACTGGTAAATATTCTCTATCTAAAATTATGAAGAAGGCAATCTTATATATGTGCAGGTATAATCTACAACAAACATCTACTGATAAAAGAATGTTATCCAAGTTTCTCATCCAAACTAAGTTTACTTGTTATTTTCAAAGTGGTTGAAAAATTATCATTCAATCATTGACAAAAATAGTGATATTCTTGTACATAGAATCCACAGAGTTATTATTCTATCATATCTAAAAAAAAATTGAGAATTTTTAGCTTCAAAGCAATCGCAGATCAACTGCAAAGCCCAACACAGATTTAAATATTTTCAGTTTTCCGGTAAGTTTTTGTCCAACTAAAAACTCGAAAAGCCGTTATTTATGACCACGGCGATACGCTCGTGCGAACGTTCGTTTCATAAATTTTGGCGGTTACGCCCATGCGACGAAGATTTTTTTGTACAGTATGAAAGTAGCGTCGCATAATATCGCGTCGCAGTCGCGCCAGAATAGAATAATAGCGGACGTCGTATTATCAGGTGCGTTATACAGCGGCGCGACACCGACTGCGTTAGTTTTTTGTTCCTCGTTGTTGCTGCTGCTGCTGTCCACGAGCGCGCGAAAAGTAGGATCGGGCATAAATATCGCACACACAAGCAGCTGAAAACGAACGAGTCGAGTGTAGTGCGCGGCGCGGCGCAGTCCTCCGAGCTGCAGCGATACTGATTTATGCGCTATTACTCCGCCATATTTATAAATAATACACACACACACTCGAGGGTGTAGAAAAATGTGTGTGCATACATTTTATATTTATCGTCGCGCGTTCGTGTGCGTGTGCAGTGCTGTGATCGTGGTGGGCCGTCGTCGTCGCAACGTACGCAAGCAGAGCTGTGCGGGTATTATTATGTGTACGAAAAAATATGGTACGGTATAACGGAAAAACTAGCGTACTACGAGCAGAGATCGTACCGCACGCGAGTGTGACATCGCGAAGTCGTAAATAATAAAAAAGTAAAGCAGAGCGTGACAAATGCGACAACGACGACTTGTGTATTCTTATAGTGCTCTTGCGACGCAACGAAATCTCGCCTATACACACACGGAGCAGAGGAGACGACGACGATTCGCGACTAAAGGTCAGTATTTTTCATGATATAAGTAACAATACAGCAGTGATAACGGCGTAAGCGAAGCTTACAATAGTAATCTATGAAAAGAGAGAGAGAGCATAATCTTCATACGTCCTGCTCGTACGGAATATAGGTGCGAGTTTAAGAAATTTTCGCATGTGCGTACTAGACTCATACATACATAGATACATGATATTTTATATATAAATGTATGTACGTATGTGTGTGTGCATACACTCGAAGCGGAGCGGCGTGATGTAACAGGAAGAAGAGGCGCGAGTGCACGCGCTCGTGCCAGTCTGCTGCTGCTGTTGCTGCTCGAGCTGCCGCGCGCATTATAGCCAGGGTGCTCCGGCGTATGTATGAATTATTGATGAGCCCGGCATAAAATATGAACGAGGCGCGTTCGCGCGCGCGCGCCGCAAGTCGTTATCAACGAGTTGCAGGTAGAGCTGCTGCTGCTGCTGCACACCCCCACACAGCCACACACACACACACACATTTACACGCATAGTACTAGAGGCAGTGCTGTGAGCGAATGTTGCAAAGGCCGACCCGTAATACACGGTACATTATACACAATGCTTATGTACTCTCGCCGCGCGCGCGGCGTTTTACAACGCCTCTGCCTGTGCTGCTTGTATTGCAGTGTGCACGAGAGCGACCGCGAAAGAGAGAGAGAGAGAGAGAGAGAGAGCTTTCAGCCTCTAGCCCCCTTTTTTTTGCGTTCTTATTACAATACGCGAGCTCCGAGCGTGGGTATCGGCCTCGAGCTTCTGGTAGTCAGCGCTCGAACGGTAGACTATCGAACTTTGAGGGCAGTCGCATACTAGTATTGATATAGCTTCTGCTCTAAAGCAAGTACATTAAACTAAAATTAAAATGACAAATAAAAGGCCTGTAGCTAAAAAGTGTTGTGTTTATAATTGCAACAGCAAATCGACTAGTGAGAATATTAATTTGTATCATTTCCCAACTGATAATAAGTTATTTCCCCATAAAGTGGCTCATAAAGTAGAAGAGGATATTCTATTACCAGCATTTATTTGCAGTCGAATGCCTTCCTACAATAATCAAATAAATAAGTGGGATGCAGAGACTTATACTGCAGCACCTAATTCATCGATAAAAAAATGTCAACTTAATGAATTACCAATAAAAAGTGACATTGGTGGATTCAAGGGTTATGATTGCATCAAGGATAACAATGAGAAGATGCTCCAAGTATGTGGCATTAACTCAAAGACATTTCAGTTATTGTTGAAAGTCTTATCAAGAGATTATTCCACTGAAAAAAAAAGTATCAGCATTGAAAATAGATTAGTAATATTTCTACTAAAGATGAAAACTGGATTGTCATTTAGCGTAATTGGTGTCTTCTTTGGCGTACACAGAACTACAATATCCAAAATTTTCTATGTCACATTAAGTTATCTAGCAGCAGCCTGTAAAGAATTTGTTCCCTGGCCATCTCAAGAAGAGGTACGAGGAACTACACCAGACTGTTTTAAGCCTAATTATAGTAACTTCAGAATTATCATAGATGCCACAGAATTTAGGATGGAAGAGCCACCTCGCACCGATGAACAAATACAATCTTGGTCTTCGTATAAAGGTGGATACAGAATTAAAGTTGTCGTAGGATGTTCACCTGCTGGATTAGTTACTTTTGTGAGTTGTGCATATGGTGGTCGAGCAAGTGATGTGCAAATAACTGCTGGTTCTGAATTGTTAAAATTGTTAGAAAGTGGAGATACCATATTGGCTGATAAGGGATTTCCCAGTATACAATCCAAGCTAATGGAAAATGGAAAAAATGTTTTAGTTGTCATGCCCCCATTCGTTGAAAACCACCATCTTACAGGAGAACAACGAGAAGAGCAACGTCACATTGCAAGAGTGAGGATACACATTGAACGAATAATGCAGAGACTAAGAATTTACAAAATATTAGACATGATTTCAATTAAGATGCTTCCATACATTGATGAAATCATCTTCATGTGTTGTGTTTTAGTAAATTTACAGCCAACTATCATAAAATAAGTTTGTATCCCAAGTGACATACATAATGTAAATTACCAAAATAAAAGTACAACATAGATTCATAAAATAATAAAACTTTAATTTTTTATTTCAATACACTAAAACTCATGTTAAAAATGAAACATTATTATGCACTCACATATCTAATGATTGTTTATGAAATAAATAGTAGCATAAATATGCTTGCAATCGGAGGTTATCCCCGCTAAACAATTACATTTTGCATTTGTCAGGTGTCGTAAATTATTGATCTGCAATAAAAAACGATATAAGTCTAATGCAAAGAATCATTGAGAAAAAAAGAATATGTAACTCTTTAGCTTACCCATACTTCTATATTATACGGCGTTTCCCTAATTTTTTTCGTTTTAATGCAAAAGGCTCTTATCACTTTACAATCATTAAACGTTGTTTCTTCTGAAACATTGTTTATATGACCTGAAATTGCCAAATTTTTTCCGTGCTTTACAGCCTCGGGCCAAAATGATAGGTCATGCGTTATTGATAATATATCCATATTGTTGATATAATGTCCTTTTCAATGTTGTGATTTAGTTCAGATGATATTAATACGTGTATGATTTCAAAATTTTGCGGTAACTATTGTTATTAATTAATAAAAACACATAAATAGTATATCACTATAACGAAGTCTCCATTATATTACATGTTAAAGGCTTATGTTTTGATGCCCTCAAAGTTTTTTGAGCCGCCACCGCGCGCTAGGCGCTGCGGTAGCGGCTCGAGGCCGATACACTTACACTTTTTCTCGAAATATTCGTAATGATTTTTGCTCTTGTATCTTTTTTCTCTCTTTTTTTTTGCTGTTTCTTCGCGCCTCGTGCACGGTCCGTAGTTTCGCTGTAAAAATAACAATAACGAAAAATAAAAATAATGACAACTACGTGTGCCGTATAGACGCGCGTAACGATGCTGACCGCGCGAAGATTGTGGCAGAGGCTTACGGGGCTTGAAAGGTTCAATGTTACTAGAAAAAATTTAAATCTAATGCAAGTTTAATGTAAGGTCAGACATTAGAATTAAGGTAAACAGTATAGAATTTGATTTGAGGTATCTTTAACGTAAAATTTTCGTTGATAATTGATGTCTTAATACTGATTTTGTTATTGCGTCGATTGCACGAAAAACTCATGAACATTTAATGATAATTAAATCCAGTCTCCGCCAATAGATGGCGAGTAACTTTATCTGTAAATATGCAAGTGGTAAAGTCAAAATAATTGTATAATTCAGTCTGAAACATTTTTTAACTTCATAATCTTATTCAATAAAAATCATTGTATTTTACACAACTGACGTTTTACGTTAAAATAACGAGGGCTAAGGAAATATTTGTTTGGCTGCAGTCTTGAAAAAATGGCCAAAGGTTCATCGTTAATTACTCATATTCCTTCATCGAACGCGTCAATTTTCCGTCTCTTTTTACATTACCTATCGATCTCGCAATTGAACATTCGCAATAGCTTTTGATCGTCGTTAATTAATCATCATTTCAAAATGGTAATATCATCTGAAATTCAACGCTGTTGAATCATTAATTCATAATTTATTAATTTAGGACAACTCGAATAAACGTATTCGTTCGCGTGTAAACGAATTTTGACGTATAATTCAATCGAATATATGTAAATATTTTTTTAATTTAATATGTATAATGTCGTGTCATTGTCCTCGACCCGTTTCGAATGGCAGAACGCGTATACATACAGAAGACGCGGCATTATTTTGGCTACGCAAAGGGTATATAAACATCAGCGCGCGG